GCTGATGCATGCTTCCCTGATGGGTTACAATTGTCTTTCCACCCCATCATGGACATGCTGGGAATGCTGGTCTGTATTGGAGGGGCTCTCCCACCTTCCTCTCACAACAGGGCGTCAATGTTGTCTTTTGTCAGCTAGTGGTGCAGGCTGTTCGTTAACCTCAGCAGCCACATCTCTTTCTTAGCAAAGCTCACTGTTCTTGAATAGATACCAGAAACAACAGCAAACAAACATCCATATATATAAACATACTAAAATCAATCCAAAATATTGCCCAAAAGTATATGGCACATATTTTAATTGAATTGAATTAATTGAAACGATTCATTATTGCCGTTCTCCTTAGACAACATTGTATTTAACAAACTCACAAACATCAGTGTGTATTTAACAAATGTCCTTTTTGCTAGTAATCTAGTAATTTATCTAGTAATTAATTGAAATGTCTGAAACCGAAAATAAATTTTACGTGGTTGAAAAACTGAATCGTTGTGATATAAGCCATGAAAAGCACAGAGCGCATCTATCTCTGGCTCAGTGCTAGACAAAGTGCAAAAGCACGTATGAATTTACACTGGTGATGGTCTGCATTGAATGGTTAAAATTGACGCGTTTTAGTGGGTTGGAGGGGATCAAATTGAATCTGAGGTGGCACAAATCAGATGCGAAGGGCAACCCCTCGGTTGCATCACATTCGGTTTAGATTGCTTCACGCATTTAAAATCATATTCCAGGGGTGGAGAGATGGGTCCTTCAGATCATTGCAGGGGGGCTTCAGAACGTCATAGAGGGGGCTAAGCTCCCCCAAGCCCCCCTTTGATGCTGGGCCTGGCTGAAACATTTCTTCCATCAGTCTGCAGCCTCTCGCAACCCCTGCAAGCACAAATAAATAAAACAAACAATATCTTTTCCCTTTAAGGATTAAACTGGAACCGAATATTCTACAGAGCATGTAGTGCATTGTTGGCCTTCAGGGCATTAGACACAGTTGTCTTTACCTGTCTTAAACAGCTATGATGGCTTTTAGTTACTTTCGTCATATCAGAAAAATGAACTGATTACAAAAAAAAGCACATATTTATTCTCTGGAAGCGGGTCAGACCCTCAGTCACCCCACAGATACCAAATACAGATAATGTTTCTAATCCAAATACCAGGATAGATACACTAGTTTTACAAAAATTATGATTTCTAATTCATTATACAAGAGAATGGGTTGTAAATCTACTCCCTTCACTTTACCCTCATGGACCATTTTTGGGGTTCAATACATGATGGTGGTCTCACTAATAATAAAGAAATGAGAACCAGAATAATTAATCTAAGAACTTTAAATTTAAGACAAACATCCTTCAATTTAACTTATCATAATGGCAGAACCTCTTAAAATATATGAATAAATATAAAGAAAAGAAAACAATTCAAATTTTTACTGAACCTTGAATAATAGTTTTTATCTATTCAATCATAATCATAATTTTTAACCTAATATCCATTTTAAGTTTCCCTTAGATCTAGTTTCCAAACATCATAGCCCATATCATATTTAAACATAACATAACATAACATAACATAACATAACATAACATAACATAACATAACATAACATAACATAACATAACATAACATAACATAACATAACATAACATAACATAACATAACATAACATAACATAACATAACATAACATAACATAACATAACATAACATAACATAACATAACATAACATAACATAACATAACATAACATAACATAACATAACATAAACTTAAACCTGTCAATATTACATCATTTAATCAAAATTACATTAGAAGTATAAACATATATAACTTTAATAATATAACTAACTTGTTCAGTTATTGCCTTGCATATATTTTTATATCATGCTATTGTGGTTTATCATACTCAATGCCTAATTATTTTTAATGTAAATCTTCTCAATTATCATACAATGTTTCAGTACTCAGACGCACATAACCTAACAGCACATTCAGAAGGAAATCCTTAGGACTTCCTTTAAAGGGTTTAGTTCTCCATGTCTTGTTAGTTATAACGGCTTACATGTCAGGCGACATGATCAAAATCTTAAAAACCCTTCATTCATATTTTTCATTTAGCAGTGATACTTATTGAATACTAATTAGGTTTGTTACTGCAAACTGTTGCTGTTCAACTGACAGATTTCACGCTATCACCATATAAACAATAATATTGCTCTGATCTAAACTGCCAAATATTAATTAAAAGGCATCCTCAATCCCTGTAAAATTTATTTGAAACATTGTACATTATCTAAGCCCTGTCAATGATCATAATAATATTAAATTGATTTGCCTTGCCAGGTGTTCACGAACAGTTCCATAAATCCTGTCACAATTTTTATTTTCGTAACATTAATTTTAGCTGCTGAATTTCATTTCATTATAACTACTTGTAACTGTATTTCTCCATCAACTGGTTAGCCAGCAGATTCAAAAGTTTTCGTTCAACTTATCTCTAGTGTTCTAAACAAAAAAATCACTCAGACCTCAACATTGAGGACACACACACACATGTATGGAATGTATGCATCACAGTCTTACCGTTATACTGGACTTTCATCTTAGTCTGGCAGTCTACCAGATGAGCTCTAGCAATCTCACAGGCTTTGTGAAGCCGCTCACGAAAATAACTTACGTAGTCAAGGATAGACATTGACGAGGAACTCCAAGACTGCTCACTGAGCTTAAGCTTAGCTTAAGGGGACCTCTTACTGTATGTCCAAAAACCAGTTCTGCTGGACTAAAACCCAGCGATTCCTGAACACTCTCTCACAGCAAACATAATCAGAGGATTTGTTGAATCAGATCAACAAATCTTCCACCCAGGGGCGGCGTTTCCGTATGGCAGAGTATGGTAGTCGCCATACCTTAGCCCAGTCAAATGTGTCATGGAAAATTATCCAAACTTTATATCTCTATTTATTTAGTTATTATTATTTTAAATCAGTGCTATTGGTCTTCCTTATGTCTGAGGGTTTTACAAATATTTTTCCAATGACAAGCATTCAGAGAGCTTGTCCCTAAAGCTTGTAATGCCAAGTGCCGCGCACAGCCTGGAGACAGTATTATTCGCAATGCAAGGGTAAATAAATAACTGATGTTTGAATAAGCACAGCGTTTTCTTTAATCAAACACTATGTCTGTAAAGGCTAATATGTTTTTATGTGTCTGAAGAGCAGAGAAGAGTCTTAGCTTTTGCCATCTAGTTGTAGCCAATAGGCCTTTACTTCTGTACGTTTTAAATATAGCGCTTCATCGTTTATATCATGATATTTTGGCCAAATGTATTAAACGACAAGAAAAACTGTAGTGCCCACATAGCTATAATAAAAGTTATAACCTGTAAGTTGATGAAAGCATTTATTGCCTCAGATATAGTCATTCTAATGACAGACAAAAAACAGATCTCTGTCATTCGCTGGTCAACCAACTCCATTTGATCTTGATTTTCATAAAATGTTAAGTGTCTGATAAAGCCACAATACCAACTCTGATGACGCAGTGTTTAATTATATTTCTATCCTTTTTCCTATATTTCAGTGCTTAGTGGTGTGCCATTGGATTTTTTTATTTATCAAAACTGTGCCCCCCGCGATTTACGCCACTGCCATACCCTATGGTTTTGTGAAACGCTGCCACTGCTTCCACCCAATCCTTACCCATCCCAATGCAAAATTTTCGGAGCAATGACTGATGGAATCGCTCCAAAGCACCTTAGGATTGTGGGTGGTAAGCACTAGCCAATTGATGCTTAATACCCAACTCACTTAACATCTGCGAAAACAGTCTGGACGTAAAATTATTGCCCTGATCTGACTAGATCTCCTGTGGCAAGCCAAAGATGGAGCAGAACCTAATAAGCTCTTGCACAACCGTCCTAGCTTTACGAGTGCATAGAGGAACTGCCTCGGGGCAACGAGTCACAGCACGCATAAGAGTCAAGACGTACTGGTGCCCTTACTTTGACTTAGGCAAGGGCCCTACACAGTCAATGATTAATCGTTCGAATGGCTCACCGATAACTGTTATCGGAATAAATGGGGCTCGGGGAACAGTTTGATTTGGCTTACCTGCCAGTTGATAAGTATGTCCAAATTTGGACACAGATTACTTTAAACCAGACCAAAAGAAATATTTGGAAACATTATGGAAGGTTTTAAAGCACTTTCTTGAGCTAGCTGTAGGACTTGTGATCGATAGTCAGATGGTAGCACAATTTGGTGAGCCTCTTGCCAATTCACATCAGAATATCACCGCTTCCATTTGCACATCAGCACTCGGCTACCCTAGCTTCTGGCACTTGTATAATGTCCACCAATGCACTCGATTCAAAAGGTTTTGAACCAATTTCAGGTACAACACTCAACATTAAAATTCCCACATATAATAACTTTACCCTGTGTATCACCCATCACTTCTTCTAAAATACTAATTTCTTTACATGGATTATAAAAAATTGTAATTCCAATTAATTCCCATTGCTTCTATGCTTACATATTCTGCATTATTATTTTTATATATGCTCTTATATGCTATGCCTTCTTTAATAAATGTTGCACACCCTCCAACTCTTCCAGTTTCTCTATCTTTCCTCTCTATTACATATCCATTGAACTTAAAATCCAAGGAGCTATTTAACCATGTCTCCTGAATACACATGATGTCTGGTACCTCTTCCATTTCTGTGATGTGTTTTTTAAATTCTTGCCCATTTGCTATTAAGCTCCTGGCATCCAGTGTAGTATTAGGAAAGACATTATAACACCATGTATTATTACTCAGTCAAATTCAAAGCAGCAGTTCCTTCCTTTGCTTTCAGAATCCCATGGACTTCCTCAGCTGTAACTCCTGCTAACTTTAGAAATGTATTTGCACATACTACGATAATCTTTAACTTGCCGGACTTCCTTTCTGCCTGTGAAGTACCATTTACCACAGCACAAATGAATGCTACAAAGTCAGTTTTATTGATCATAAAATGAAGATCTGAATCATTCCTCGCAGGATTTCCACCTTTCTGTGTACAGGATTCTGCACTGATTCCTTGCACATTGGTTCTCTTTGTTTCAACTATACCTTTTACCTTACAGGTGGCTTTTGCATATGGTAAATTTTGTACTGTGTTTTTTGTTGTTGTTGTTGTTGTACTTCTCGAGCTTCTTGTTGTACAGGACACCCTGCATATGCTGCACTATGTCCTCCCCACAATTACAGCATTTAATCTCTACACCCTCCTCACACTTGCCATACACATGTTCTCCCCCGCATTTTGCACAATGCATTTTCCCTTTACAGAGATTTGCAGCATGTCCCATGTGTTGGCATTTGAAACATGTCATCGTGTCGTCGGTGTACGACCAAACACAGTAACAACGACTACAGCAGCAAGCCTAGTGTTTATGTAACTCCATCATTCTTGTTATGCGCCAAATCGTGGGATGGTGGGATCCGCGTTATATTTTTTTGACCGTCCACTCCCGCCCTCAGTAAAGGTTAAACCTCCCGTTCCCGCGAGGATCCCAATCCCAATGCAGCCCTCTAATTTCAACTGAGGGTGGCCTTTAAATCCATCTGTGCCCAGGCACCGCCGCATCATAATCCGGCCCTGGTTGTATTAAATCAATATGAAAGTGTGAGTGTTGTATTGCTGGATATCAGTCATATGATCATCACGGTCCAATCACAGCCACCATACTGATATTCAGATCAACAGCACTCTTACTCATGAGATATGTATGAAATATTGGTAACATGGTGAAAGCAGGAAGATCCAGACCTACAAGAGTAACGTTTACTGACTATTGAACGGTAAGATCCTCAGAGAGTCAAAACAATAGAAGAATGGGAAGAGTGTGTGAGTGAAGGTGGCTGTGAATGTGTGTAGATGTGTGTTAGTTACAGGATCAGAGAATGACACTGTTCCTCTGTCATAGTACAGATACACTCTCACACGATCAAGCTGCCGTTTAACCCGAAAACCAGAACCTATATACCGTCCTGACAGATGATACTCCACACTCCAGACATCAGTGTTGCAGAAATCACATCCCTTCCCCAGGTTTGATGCTGCAGTTACTCCAAGACACCAGCGTTGACTCTGTTTAACCTCCACATCCCAGCAGTGTGTTCCTGAGTTAAAACCCTCTGAACCCAGAACACAGGGATAGAAGTCAAATCTCTCTGGATTATCAGGAAGAGGTTGTTTGTTCCTGCAGTTTCTCACACTGGTCAGATCATCAGACAGGACAAGCCATGGATTCGCAGTGTTTGGATCCAGAATCACAGGAGCTGATGAGACACAATCAACAGATGCTGTTATTCTGATATTCATAAAATGGACACGATCAACAGATGCTGTTATTCTGTATTCTGATAAGAGTGAACCACACACAGATTATTATGAATTATGACACTCATCCTGTTGATCAAACACATCAGACATTTTTCTCCGATCCTCTGTTATTAGTTTCATTTTTATCATCAGTGTTTAACATCATCAGCTACAAACATTAAATATGTGATTCAGGCATTTGTGTCTCATCAAGATAAAGTGATACTTTGGGAAAGTTAAAATAACAATAAATCAATTAGATCTGTTGAGATTTATGCTGTAAGATGAAAAACTGTAAGTGTGTGTCTGATCTTCAGCAGCATCTGATCATCTTCGTTTAGTTGAAAAAAATCAGACTGTCATTGATGGAATGTTCAAATGAGCCAAAACTGTTCAAACTCCAAATGACAAAAATCGAAAATAAAAAATCATATTTAAACAGACAGAATCCCATTTGACTCAATTAATCCACCATTTTATCTAACATTTCTAATCAATCTATCATCTATCTATCTATCTATCTATCTATCTATCTATCCGGCCGTCCGTCCATCCGTCTGTCAGTTTGTTTCATGAAGCACCTTTAACTCTCCACCCATCCATAATTTCCAATGTGAGTGTGTGTGTGCGAGCTCAGATCTTCTGCAGTCAGACTCACTTTTCTGGACGATGTCCTGCATCTTCTTCCAGACTCTGAACGGCAGGTTGCCCAAATAACGTGGCACATGAATCATATTTATTACACGGCTTTGGAATACTTGATTCTGATTGGTCAGTCACAACAATCCGAGGTATGTTATTCCTCTGGTAAAAGCTGATAACACAGGCTGAAGTCAGCGCCGCTTGCTAGAAACAGTTTTTCTTTGTGGAAGCTTTGCCTTTAGTTAGCTTATAAAATATTAAAACTCAATTCAATATTATGTGTCCTGATCACCTGGTCGTGGGTTATTCTGCGATAACAACTGGTTGGATGCACATTTTCCCTTACATAGTAATCCTACATAGTGATCATTTTACTAATGAAAATGACTCTGGATTCTGTTTCCTCACCTTGATGTGTTGAACTGTTTTCTCAAACTCTCCTTTCATTGTTTTATTGTGTTTTAGTTTCTCTTGTAAGAACTTCAATGCTGCATTGAGCTCCTCCTAGAATTGAACAAAAACACATAAAACACCAGATTACAGTGAAGAGAAGAAGAGAAGACGATACAGTGATTTGATCATATGATGCTATGGAAAAAGTATTTGCCCCCATCCTGATTACTTCTGTTTTTGTGTACATACTAAATACTAAATGTGTTCATAAATTAAAACCTACCTACTAAACTGCCTGAAAAAGCACAACTAAAGTTTTGGAGTGGCCTCAGCAAAGTCCTTACTTGAACCCAATTCAGATAATGTGGCAGGACCTTAAACAGGCAGTTTATGCTTGAAAATCCTCCAAAGTGACTGAACTAAAGTAGCTCTGCAAAGGAAAGCGGACCAGAATCCACCACAGAGCTTTGACAGACTGAGCTCCAGTTATCACAAAATATTTGGCTGCAGTTATTGCTGCTAAAGGTGGAGCGATTTGTTTATCACGTGATAGATGTTAAAACTGGTATTCACTGTTTACTGAGGTTGACTTTGTTTTATGTTGCATTTATTTTGAAGATCTAACACTGTTTAGTATGAGACAAAAACAGAATAAATCAGGGTATACAAATACTTTTTCACAGCACGTTATATGTTATATGAAGTTCAGTAAAATGACAGAGAGAAATATCGAGTGCATGTGATGTTATTTGTGTTTATGACTAATTACTTTTCTTTACGTGCGAAACAAGACACATTTGTTGTACCTTATATGATGAAACCGCTTCACTGATGGGTCTGAATTTATGATTGTCATGTTGTTGTGAATCTCTACACACTAAACACACCGGCTGTTTGTCCTCCAGACAGAAGAGTTTGAGTTTCTCACTGTGTAAACTGCAGATCTCCTCAGATGAATGTCTCTCATTTCTCTCCTTCAGGAACGACTCGCACAAGTTTTTTAATGCGAGATTATATGGTGGTTCTTCTCTTGAGGACCTTCTCCTGCAGACAGGACACTCCGGAGTATCCTTGGTTCTCCAGAACTGTTGAAGACACTCTTTACAGAAACTGTGACTACATGATAAAAGAACAGGAGCCTTGAAGATTTCACAGCACACAGGACAGATATAATCATCTTCAGCTGCTGAAGCCATTCTCACTGTTTGAGCTCCTGCGATCTGAACTTTACTTTCACTTTCTGAACGATGGTTTCAAAAATGAATCACCATTAGAATCACAAAGATCTGCTGTCTGTTCAGAAACAAATGTCTCAAAATTCCTTATATAAAACATTTTTCTTCGTTCTCCACTGATCGCTGATTCTTTATAGCTTTTGTTGAGACACGAGAGCCAGTTTGACAGAAAAGAGCAATGAGAGTCTCTTCCTGGTAAGTGCTGTAAGAGGGTGGAGTTTATGATCACATGGTTGTGTTGAAACAGGTCAAAGAACAACATCGGGATATCGTCAGGTTAAAGTTTAACAAAATGCACTCAACATTAAACAGCATTGACACTCTCTCAAGTATAATATAATATAAAAAACATTGGATCAAAAAGAACACATGGGAGAATACAAATATTCATACACTTTATTTTTGCTTTATTTATTGCTCTTCACAGCAAAATCCCTAGTGTCAAATGATCACTGCTAGTTTATGACTCCACACTCAGGGGTCATTTACACGACACATTTTCAACTTAAAAACTGAAATCTTTTTATGGGTTTTTGCTGCTCATTTACATGACAACAGTATTTTGGGGGCCATGAAAACAGTTTGAAAAGTTTCTGTTCTCCATGTAAACAACAAAAATGTGAATTTGTGAAAATGGTGATGTCATGTGCATGCATATTATTTATTCAGTCTATAGACCTTATTCTCCAGAGAAATAAGTGTGCAGCCATCTTTAGAATATTGTCTTTGAACTTAAGTTTTTTGCGGTGGCTCAATGTATTTCTGTGGCATCATTGTCAGAGTAATTAGTTAGTCAAGAGGATTTACTTATTGTAATGTTAACTAAAGTTATCATGAGCATAGCAGTGTTTAAAGCAGATGACTTAAGCCATTTGAATTACGGGGACACAGAAACTGTCCTCATAAACCACCTTCACATTGTAATACCCATGTAATTACACAAATTTGTGTCCTCAAACCACACACACACACACACACACACACACACACACAGTCACACATTGTCACACATATTTCAGTAAATAAACATTACTTAAACAGTAACACATTATTATTATGTTTTTTGTTTTTGTATATCACAAATGTATATGCAAGCATACATATTATTTGCAGCTAGTAACTGGTCTACATGCCTTTTCCAGTTGAGGTGGCCATCAGCGAGTTCAACAGTGTAAGACACTGGCCTAAAATTGACAGCATGGTACACTATACCATTCAAAAGTTTGGGATCAATAAGATTTCTTTACACTGAAATTAATACTTTTATTCAGGAATGATGCATTAAATTGATCAACATTGACAGTGAAGACTTCAAAAATCTCAAATGATGTTAAAAAATTCTAAAAAAGTACCACAGTTTCCACAAAAACATGAAGCGGCACAATTGTTTCTTGAGCAGCATATTTGAATGATTTCAGAAGGGTCATGTGACACTGAAGACTGGAGTAACAGGGCAGACTGTGAGTTCATGGATGGGTGACACCACCTCTGGAACAGACTCGTGGACAGGAGAGACCTCTGGGACAGACTCGTGGACAGGAGAGACCTCTGGGACAGACTCGTGGACAAGAGAGACCTCTGGGACAGACTCGTGGACTGGAGAGACCTCTGGGACAGACTCGTGGACAGGAGAGACCTCTGGGACAGACTCGTGGACTGGAGAGACCTCTGGGACAGACTCGTGGACAAGAGAGCAGTGTGCAACCCAGACACACAAAATGGTGACCGTCATCACGGGCAGCGCAGTAGACAGAGGGAGGTCTGTTGGGCCCGAGAGTATCACAGATGTGAGGCTTGGGAGCGTAGAGACCACTGGGATGCCAGCCACTCGCACTGACATTAAAGGTGGGTCCATCACACTGGCAATCAGTCTTGCTTGTCTGCTAGAGCTTGGGTGCAATAGCGCCCCCCCGACCCCCAAAAAAAAATTCTTAGAGGAAACTTGTATAACAGCCGTGGCGTGATGAGGCTCTGGCGTGGTGGTCATGACAAGTCGAGAATATGGCGTGACAGTACTCTTAGCCGGGGAATCTGGCATGGCAGGCATGACGTAAACAGGCTTTGGCTTAGCTGGTGTGACGTGAGCAGGCTCTGGTATGGCAGCCATTTTGTGAACTCTGGCGGCCATTACATGATGTGAATCTGACATGGTGGCTACTGAAGGAACACAGGGTTCCTCATCCGCGATCCCCACCGTGAAAGCAGATCCACTCAAATGTAAAGCAAGGTCAGTATAACTGGAAAGAGTCCAATGAGGAGTTTTGCGTGGCATTAAACATGAAATGTCCTTATTTAAACCAAAATGAAAAATGTATTTCAGAAAAGTGTCATTGAAGTCTAGCTGACAACAAAGTTTGCAAAACTCAGCCACGTAATCCTCAATAGGAAGGTCCCTCTGTCGGAGATGAACGGGACGATCGCCTGGATTCATTGTTGTGCTGTGTTTAAAAAAAGGCGCTGGTTCTATGGAGTGGCGAAGTATTTCTGTCACGGGACTCACTTTGATAGAACCAAATGCGAGCTTTATTTACAAAGTAGTGTGGTTAAAACAGGCAAGGTCAAAATCCAGCAAACAGTATAATGACAAATAATGACATAAAAAACAATGATAAAAATAATGACAAAGATTTTTATCTTTGCCCAATTTGGCCTAAATGTATATTTTTTTATTTTATTTTATTTTATTTTGTTATATTTTGTTACCTAGTAAGGCTTAGTTTTTAAAATAGAGACATCTGCTCAGACATCTGACAAAATAGTAAAACCAACATGACAAAGAACCGTGATAAAACCATGAATTGTGATATTTCTGAAAAGAATAGTGATATGATATTTTTGCCATATCGCCCACCCCTAGCTGTAAGTAAAAAGAAATAAATGAAAAAAAAAAACACAGTCCAAGCGGAGTGACCAGGACAGCATCCGAACACGACGGCACCATCTCTATTGCCTAAGCTTGTTGGTTGCTTTTAGCAAATCTTCCAGCCTCGCCGTAGCTGGTTTAGCAGGCTGGTTTTAGAGGGGTTTTGACCACTTCTTTAGCTGGTCAGGCTGGTAGACTAGTTGACAAACCAGCCAAAACCAGCTGAACAGCAACATTGACTCACAGGAAATGCAGAAATGTGTGGTTATCTGACCCACTTACATGGACAGGGTGACAGTTGTCCTAATATCATAATGATGCTAAAAAAAAAAATCAGCTTTGATCACAGTAATACATTACATTTTACAATATATTCACAAATACAAAACAGTTATTTGAAAATGTAATAGTGTTTCACAATATTACTGTTTTACTGTATTTTTGATCAAATAAATACAGCCTTGGTGTATGAGACCTCTTTCAAAAACATTAAAAAATCCTACCAACCCCGAAGTCATAGACCCAAAACAAAACAAAAAAAAGATCATCACAAACTGTTCCATGTTACCATCCTATATGAATCATGAACAATTAAAAATGTCATGTTAAGTGTTAATCAAAACAAAAGTGAAATATTTTAATATAAAGTTTGTTTAATTGGATATTATTATGTTTATGTTTTTTGGATATTTGTATGAATTGTCATATCTACTGAAAGAACAATGATCACTTGAAATAAAGCCACTGCACATGATTAACTAAACAAGCACTTTTTGCTGAATATTGAAACAAGAATTAAAAGCCTATGCAGATGCTTATTTTTTCTGTAAAGAATTTTAAAAATCTGAAAGGCAGTTAATTTTCTTTAAAGATGTTCTAATATTGTAAATATCAGCTGAAAATATGTTTTACAGTACTTCACATAGAATCCTGAAAAAAAAAAAAAAACTTAAAGTTGTATTACAGAAGCTAATTTAGCATTGCACTTATTTATGCTACATATTAAACCCTGCATAACAGATACCCAACACAGAATAGGCCTGAAAAAGGAAAAAAAAAGCCTTAGTCTTTGTCACTCTCTCAAACATTACTGGAAAGTCTGCTTGAATACATACATGAAATGCTCAAGAAATATTTCAGATTTTTATCAATGTTGTGCTGCTTCATATTTTTATGGAAAATGTGATAAATTACCATATAGTCTAGGGTAATATATATATATAAATTAATACTTTTATTCAATAAGGTTGCATTAAATTGATTTAAGTGACATTAAAGTTATTTATACTTATTACAAATTAATTATATTTCAAATAAATGCTGTTCTTTAACTTTGTATTCATCAAATAATCATGAAAAAGTTGAAGTATCACAGTTTCCACAAAAATATTAAGTGAAAACAGTTTTCAGTAGGCCTATTGATAATAATAAAAACAATTAGTAACAGCTTAACTGATCACAAATAATTACTGATAATAATTAGGCAGCAAATCAGCATATTAGAATGATTTCTGAAGATCATGTGACACTGAAGACTGGAGGAATGATGCTGAAAATACAGCTGCGCATCACAGGAATAAATTACAGTTTAAAATATCTTTAATAGAAAACCAATATTTTAAGTGTAATATTATTTTTACTGTATTTTTGATCAAATAAATTCATCATTCTTTCAAAAACTAAATAGGCCTAAATAAAAAGTCTTAATTGTTTCAAACATTTGATCCAGTGCATGTGAACTATCAAATTATAGTATTTTTATTAATATAGGCTATATCACTTTCCTAATCACCGCACTTAAAAGCGATATATGCCTATATGGTAACTAATAAGACACATTACTGTACATACTAATGGTACACTCTAAAAAATGCTGGGTTGTTTCAACCAACTTTGGGTCAAATATGGACTAACCCAACCGTTGGGTTAAATTTAAGTTGGTTGAAACAACCCAGCATTTTTTAGAGTGTATGTACCTGGTAAATATGTAGCACTTAAGTGTGGTTAATAACAGGCTCAAACATACAGTACAGTGTACATTCATGATAACTAATGTGAAACTATATGTGCTTAACATTGTAAGTTCAAGTCCTCATGGTACATGCTTTGGAAGTTGGTTGGGACTCTGCATAGTGTTAATACTTAGCAGGTATATACTGCTAAGTATACTATTTCCATATACTTGCGTTCATAGTAAGTA